AAAGGAAGGAAGGAAGGAAGGAAGGAAGGAAGGAAGGAAGGAAAATTTCAATACTTTAATATTACAAACATTTTCACAACTAATGATACAACCCTATACACATACCTGGGATTAAGCTGCTGTGAGTACAGTCCAAATTTACTTCTATGTAAATATGCACAAGACGGAAAGGCACAAAAATCTCATACATTCACTGCTGCTGCTGCACATAAAGTTCTCCCCTCTGAACAAAAAGGGAGTGTGCTTTTCATTTCGTGGAGAGTAAAGGTCTAGAATTACCCAAGTAATGCTATTGGAGCTCACAGAGCAGTCTTGCATTTGGTAGCTGCTGTACTATCCGAAGGAAATAATAATTCTACAGAGGGTCAAATTAGATAGCATGTTTAGCAATGTTTTTAGAAAAGGTGCTCCCTCAAGTAATGAAAGACATCTGTTTATCCTAGTACACAATTTTCTTCACCTGCATATGGTGCATTTAGTAGGCTTTGCTTTATGATTTGTCGCTAGAACGTAAATATAAGCTACATTTTTAAGTCTGATTGTTAAGGTATGTATCTCTAAAGTATGTATCCTCATGTGGAAGAAGAACATGTTACTTGAAAGAAATACACATTTCCCCTAAACTTCTCGTTTATCTCTAGGCTCTTTAGACTGCATGCAGCAATGCCTTGGAGTAGTTTCCTAAAGCAACACAATCCTAACATTTGGGGCTAAGGAATGAAACTTGATATGCAAATGACACTTGTGAACAAGCAATATGAACAAGATTTCTCATACTCATTTCTAGGTATTCATCAAAAAGTCCGTAGGCATTCATAGGCTGAAGATTGTAGTCCTTCTCCCATTGTGGGAAACTTGTTCTTCTCTGTGAACCATATTCCTGCCGCAGTTTTCGTCTGGTCCACCAATTCTGAATTAACCTGCAGATGTGAATTTGTTTATAAATTCTCATTTTCAGAACCAACTGATTTTCATACCTCTCTCCTCTATCACCTCATGCATGTGTTCATAGAGGACAGTATGGAGTGAAATGAGCATATTACAATGTACATAATCCATATATAATCTTCACACTGCCTCTTTCCTCATTCCACCAAATCCTGATAACTCTTCCACTGAACCTTCCAGTTTGCTGGCGCTGCTGCTGAATACCAGGTCTGTGAATACCAACAAGTCTGTGATCATAGACAATTTCATCACTAATGAGAGAGATTACCTGGTGTGTATTACTGAATTTGGGAAGACCAAATGGGAGGAGTGGGTCTGATGTATCTTCTTTACCCATGTGGTGCTCAGGACAACATCCACAGTAGCCCGGAGGGCAGGTGGAGAAGAAAATGTGGTCTATACTTGTTCTATACTAGGAATTCCATCCCTCTGATTAGGAAACATTTCCATATTGTGAAAGCTTCATAAGGCTTGCATCTGATATTAGGACATAGGAATATGTCTGCAATGATGGCCATCCACCTTTGGCCTTTTTTTCTCCAGATGGATGACCTCCACTAACAGAGAGACTGAAGAATGCTATTCTGTTGCTGTTACTGCATCTCTTACTAGCTTTTGATATGATCTACCTTGGTAGCAACCTGGATTAGTATCATGAGAAGTGATGGGGGGGGCATCACTTTGGTGCCTCCAAGTCCTGTTGCATGAAAGCAAAAGAGGAGGATGTGCATTAGCCCCGATGTTTATACCGTGGAATGTTGTAGAGCTCTATTCTATTTAACATAAGATGTTTAGAGTGGCCATCTGGGGATCTGGAGGGAGGTGACAATAATACATTGAAGATGACAGGGGTTAGATTCAATGATCAATAGGATAGCTTCTAGCTTTGCAGTTCTATTTCTTATTATTACAGCATAATACATTATTACTCAGTAACATCTGAATCAGGTGAGGATGTGTAAATACTTGAATGCAGTGGTGGGCTGGATAAGGACCAAAAAATCTCTATCTCTGTCTTGGAAAGATGAGGGACCTATAGGTTCTTAAGACCAGGAACATAGTGCCTAATGTGCCCTCCTATAAGTGCTTCACAACCATTATGATTTGGGAGGAATCTGTGGGGATTTGGTGCCTACTCAACATTTATTTGTTTCAGCAAGCTTTCCCAGAAATATTATTATTTTCTTTTCTGTTATTTGTATTTCTATAGTCATAATTCTGGCCCCTGTTGGTATTTTAATTATGATTTTATTATATATTTGTATATATAATATACAAATTTGTTCAGAAATTTTTATAATGTCTTTCATAGACATTGATAAATAATCAGAAGGACTCAATAAACTATTTTAATGACTAAGGGTATATTATGAGAAGATGCAGAATACTGAAGTTCTGCAGTCAGTCAGATGTAAACAGAAACAAGACTATTAAATATTAGACACAAAGTGTGTTCTGCACACATCAGAAGTTTCCAGCTATTAAAGTTAAACAGTAAGGAGACTAGAGACAGATTATTTCATCTCGGTCTTTGTCCTATTCTCTGTTTATTGTATTCAAAGACAATGGACCGCAAATCATATTAGAATCATTTATTCATGTGGGAGACACTAGTCTAGTTTACATATTATGGCTGATACAAATGAATATTTCAGGAAATTCATTGGATGGACGTGAACTATTAACATTCTGCTGCTAGTGAAGATTAATAGAGTGCCTTCCCTGCAGAGACAAACAATTGTTGCTGGAGTATCTTTCAGCTTTCAGATAATATGAAAAAGAAAAATTGGGTACATACAGTAGTTGTTTTGACTGATAGATTGGTTTATGTATTCCCCCCTTCCTCCATATGGGAAAGATAATTGTCTGAATTAAGACCAAGAGGAAGGGAGTTGAAATATAGAGTGTATCTTGAGTATATATTCAAGTACTGAAACATTCAACAGGCTAATAGTCAGAGATAAGGAGAGAAGCTTATGGCCACATGTTGGCTAATGGCTATTAATAAGGAGTTTAAAAACTGATGAAATGGAAACAGCTTAGTAGGTTTATACAGAAAATATGGCATTGTACTTTGTCTCTTGAAAAGCAGTTTATTTATTTCCATTTCTATACCACCCATTAGCATTGCCACTATCTGGACAATTTTCAATATGCACTAAAACAGAACGACACAATATAATAAATACAAAAAATTCAATTAAATACAGTTAAGCCCTATTACTAGCTAACAGCTACTCTTTCTCATACAAAAGATTATGAGTGAACTACTATCAATAGACAAAAGATACATGCTGGTAAGGCTTCAGCATTCTGTATACTCTATTAGCAAGGAAGCAACATATATTAATTTTAATGTTTTTTTAAAAAATCTGTATTTACTTACGGGTAGCCCAGTTCCATAAAGTTGTTCCAAGTCTGCTTTAGCACCATTATAATGCCCATTTGCATACAGAGATCTATAAGGCATCCACTGGGGTGACACTGTGGGTGGTGGGAGGGGGAAGAGATTACGCAAGAGATCAAAGAATGGTTCAAAGAATGAAATTATGGCTTCTGCTTGGGAAGAATGAAGAACATGCACAGTTAACAGTACCTCTCCAAACCTCACTGCAGATCCAAGTTTTCCTAATGGTACAATCCCTCTTATGTTTATTCAGATTTAGATCCTACTAGGTTCTAGAGGACTTAATATTAGGTATGTGCATAGAAAACTGTAGATTTGAAATATGGGTTCCACTCAATTAAGTGCTTTAAATTTCCTCCCTTTTTGGCTAAAGTACGTACAATTTTTTACGGGCCTGACTCACTGAGTATGAAAGTATGACTTGTACTGCTACTACATACTGGCCGGAACCCTGCTGATATTTCCATAAGGCTTTCATAACTTTTTGTAGCTACTTGTAGCTAACCAGTGAGGTGCCAGGGCATGGCTTGGTTGCATGCCTCCCCGTATACCTGACTGCACAACTGCGGTGTGTCCTGGAACATTGTTAATTAGCTGTGGTTAGCCACAGCAGATTACATAATCATCAACAAACTATATTAACAGGAGGGAGGCAGAGTGACGCCAGCTAGAGCAGACGGATTTCCCAGGGTTCTGGAGACCCTTGTGTAAACTCCGGGACAGCAGACCCCCCCAGCAATGGAAAGGGGGCAAATTCTATCGGAGAGTGGGCTTGAAGTGAAGGAGGGCTGGAAAAACTCCGAATTCAGACAGCAATCTGTCTTTGTGAGAGTTTCCTTTCTCAAAGCATCTGGCTTGGGAGACGTCATGTCTGGTGAATTAGCTGCCTAACTTTGCCAAAGTGGGAAGTGTGAAGAAGATTTTTACTTGACTACATAAGTAGATTTGGTGGACAGAGTGCCTGAAGAACTATGGATGGAGGCCCGTAACATTGTACAGGAAGCAGCAACAAAAAGCATCCCAAAGAAAAGGAAATGCAAGAAAGCAAAGTGGCTGTCTGATGAGGCCTTACAAATAGCAGAGAAGAGAAGGGAAACAAAATGCAAAGGAGATAAGGAAAGTTACAGATAATTCAATGCTGACTTCCAAAGAATAGCAAGGAGAGACAAGAGGGCCTTCTTAAATGAAGAGTGCAAAGAAACAGAGGAAAATAATAGAAAGGGGAAAACCAGAGATCTGTTCAAGAAAATTGGAGATATTAAAGGAACATTGTGTTCATAGATGGACATGATAAAGGACAAAAATGGCAGGGACCTCACAGAAGCCGAATACATCAAGAAGAGGTGGCAAGAATATACAGAGGAATTATACCAGAAAGATCTGGATGTCCCGGACAAACCAGATACTGTGGTTGCTGACCATGAGCCAGACATCCTGGAGGGTGAAGTGAAGTGGGCCTTAGAAAGCCTGGCTAACAACAAGGCCAGTGGAGGTGATGGTATTCCAGTCAAACTATTTAAAATCTAAAAAGATGATGCTGTTAAGGTGCTACACTCAATATGTCAGCAAGTTTGGAAAACTCAACAGTGGCCAGAGGATTGGAAATATCAGTCTACATCCCAGTCCCAAAGAAGGGAAGTGCCAAAGAATGCTTCAACTACCGTACAATTGCACTCATTTCACACGCTAGCAAGGTTATGCTCAAAATACTACAAGTATGTGGACCAAGAACTCCCAGAAGTACAAGCTGGATTTCCAAGGGGCAGAGGAACTAGAGACCAAATTGCTAACATGCGCTGGATTATGGAGAAAGCCAGAGTTCCAGAAAAATATCTACTTCTGCTACATTGATTACTCAAAAGTCTTTGTGTCTATCACAACAAACTGTGGCAAGTTCTTAAAGAAATGGGAGTGCCTGACCACTTTATCTGTCTCCTGAGAAATCTATACAGTATGTAAGACAGAAAGCAACAGTTAGAACTGGATATGGAACAATTGATTGGTTCAAAATTGGGAAAGGAGTACAACAAGGCCGTATATAGTCTCCCTGCTTATTTAACATATGTACAGTACAACACTGAGACAGCCACTGTCTCTAGCTCCGCTCTGCCTTTTGACTTTCTAATGATCTTCTAGAGATTGGCCTCCCGGTGCCTTCATGGAAATAATCAGTAGGACCAGAACAGCCACATGTTAATATAGGAGTACATTGACATTGCAGCCAGAGCAAAAAGAATGTGTCAAGGACTACCTTAAGCCTGGACATCTTGGATTCCTGCACTGAGCAGGGGGTTAGATTTCATGGCCTTATAGTCTCCTGCCAACTTCATTATTCTATGATTCAATGATTAAAGCAAACTTTTAGTTATAGCTAGTTTGTATCCACTGAATCAATTAGATCTCTATAAATGTTGACTGAATAAATCCCATTCATTTAACTGGTCAGTGTTGATTGGGACTAAAAATTAAGATCACATGGGATCGCATTAAGATCATAATTTAAGCTTGTCATCCCTCTAAGAGGAGCCGTAACATCGAATTTTATATTTTGGATGTTGAATTGGAATGAAAACCACAAAATATTTAAAGGTAGCATCATTTTTACTACACCTAATAGCTCAAACTCCTAACTGGGTGATATTGTATATTATTTTCAATACATGAAATGTATCTTAGGCACTCCTCATTTCTCAAAGTCATCAGACTACACTTACCTCTTCTAGCCTCCATCTGTTTATCAGCCTCAAATAGGCACCTGGGTGACCTGTAAATCTTCAACACAGGAGAGATCATTACCCCTTTTGTGTTAATATCACGTAAAAAGTCAAATACAATCATTCCAGCTACACTTTTTTAAAGAAAATGAATTCAATAGAATTTTTTCCAACTGGAAAGAACTCTTCAGTTCTTCTTGAGGAAAAGGGCTTCAAGTTAAAAAAAATAATTTGATATTATTCATATAATCAAACATAAGGAAAATCATGACTGATATTAAGCACGAAGAAATTGTCCGTTCAAACTAATGTTTAACTGAGTTTCCTCTTAGGATTTCTCCTATGAAATGCTTTGTGCCGAACAGGAAAAATAAAGCACATAATTCACTGCAAGCATCTTCTTTATGACAGGTGTGTAAGACTGTATCTGAGCCGTCACATATACCGGTAGATAATTCCTTACAGCCCAATTCTGTAAAACAAATAGAAATGAGTGTGTGTAGGGGAATGTTTCAGTAGCAGCAGAAGATGGGGGTCTATGGGCGGAACACAAACAAGGGCCCCCTATACAACCTGCAGACTGTCCACCCCCGATTTGAAAGCACAATATTTTTATATGATAATATAAATGATAATATAAATGATAATAGTACATCTGATAGTTCTTCAGAGTTTTCCATTAGGCCAAAGGCATATTTATCATTCTTACCTTCCAAGGAAGAATGCTATATAAAAGGTAGAGCTGTTCAAATTGACAAATTGAAAAAGAAACATTTTCAAAGTGAAGCTGTTCTCCCACTCAGACTCAGTACGCGGCTGCTCTGTGGAGGAAAACAGAACTGGTGTCATGATGTACGCTCTGGTTCCCAGGTCACATTAGAAGATGCTGCAGGCACTTTGCAGATTTGGCAATGTATTTCCAATTTCGCAGCCTAAGCCATTGACAAGGGCAGTATGTCTCTGTGGAGCAGTCAGAAACACAGTAAGTTTCCGAGTCACAGCATTGGTCCATCTAGCCTGTTTTTTTTTTTTTTTGGCCATAAATTGGTTTTGCTTGTCAGGAAGTGTGTGAGTTAACTCTCTCCTTGCCCTACCTGGAGATACTAGGGTGCAACTTCTGCAATCTCTCTGCTCTGCTTATGAGTTTTTCCAAAAGTATCTGCTTAGCCCCTCTGAAAAAACAGGATGCTTGGTTTGGTCCAGCAGGACTCTTTTGCTTTAACCTGTGTTTACTTAGAAGCACATCCAATTGAACTGAAAGAGACTCCCATGCACGCTGGCACAAACTTTGGAAGAGGTAAAAAGGGCTGGACTCCATTACCCTTTTCCTAGAGGAAACATCTCTTGCAGAAAGAAAGGCTTGCCTGATTTTTTATAGTTACAGTCTTTTACATTTGGTCCACTTTGACTACATACTGTAATTAAATCGACAGCATGTGCTCTAAGACACAGGATGACAAATCCCAAACTGACTTTAGTTCAGAGAGGACTGTGCTTCTCACTGCTCATTAGCAGTGCCTACAAACATAATATTCCAATTAGGACACAACTATGCTAGTTAGCCAATTCAAATATCAAGTTATGCATGGAAGAGAGATCCTCAGCAATTAAACACACCCTGAGAAATAAAGCACAGTGTGCCTTGTAAAACTACTGGAGGGAAATATTTCACCAGCTGCAAAAGAGTAACCTCTGTTTAATGCAGAAAGAATTAGGAAAAGGCCACGTGGTTCTTGCTATTACAAGAGTGAAAGAGTAGAGTGACACTTTTATTGGAAGCATCAAAAATTTGATTTATTTCATTGGAGCAAAGAGAAATAAGTTTTCATGGAGAAAATTCCACTTTATCAGGCCAGGTATCACCCCTTCATGGATAGTACCAAAAATTGTAGGTTTAGAGGCCCAAAATTCATGGCACATGCTCAGGTCAAGTCTGCTTACATGAGATGAGTTCAGGTTCAGGTTGCAAATATCATCTCTCTCTCAATCTCTCTCTCTGTGTGTGTGTGTGTGTGTGGTATTGAGCGCTATCCCTTGCAGCATGGTTGCAATTTTCCATCCCTAACTTCAAAGAAAGGGTTTTGCTAATTACTCTGTGATTGTGCTCCCCATCACATAGTCTGCTTGTGAAACAAAATCTTTCGTTGGGGCTGGTTCATAATGATGGTTCATAAATTGTTTATATGCACGTGGGACCTGTTCTGACAGCCTATAGTGCATGAGTAAAGTATATATTCTAATACTGAAATGTTCAGCACACTAACAGTCAGAAATAAGGAGGGAAGCTTACGTCTGCCTTTTGGCTAATGGTTATCAACAAGTATTTTTAAAAAACTAATAAAATGGAAACAGCTGAGCAGTTTTATACAGAAAGGATGAATGGGATATTTGTACTTTACTCTGAAAAAGCATACTTTATATATATATAACGTAAACATATTATATATATAATGTAAACAATCTACACATTAACATGCATGTTTATATGGCTCTCTTGGTAGCAGAATTGCATCATAAAACATGGAGAAGTGCAGAACTGCATTTCAATATGTGTACAGTATTAGTTTGTGAAGTGTGTTAAACACATTTGAGTTAAAACATGAATTTAACAAATGCGTCTCTCGTCCCTACTGTTGTGTGAATTACAAAAAGTCATAATATTGGTGTATCTAGGATATTTTTCTTTGCTCCAAATAGCTGCAATTATACAGCCTAAGATCCTTTCAACTGTAGAATTTACATAGTATGAATGCATACATATGCAGGTATATCTGTAAGGTCATATATATAGACAGATGTATTCTCTTCAAAGTATAGCACATTGTTTTAACTTTAAATGAATGAATAAAATAATGCAGGATTAATTAAAGATGTACTGCACTTTTATTTTTACTTACCTAAATTTGTGAGAAAAAGAGCAACCTTTTCATACAACTGCAACAAATAAAAAACAGCACCTGAAATAGTCCACTGAATTATTGGTTAATGATTTTTTTTTTAAAAAAACATTTTGTTTGTCTGAAGTCCATTGACTTTGTTTTTAATTTCTTAATGTGACGACTACCACATGAGAAATACTTTTTCTTTTTCAAAAAAGAACCCAATGACCTTAAAGCTCATTAATCTATAACTATTTCAGATGTCTCATGCAAACTACTGAATAAATGTTGATTTGCAGATACTCAGATCTATGTTTTGGAACCAACAGAGCATGTGCCAGGTTGGTAGGGTTTTTTGACCTAAATGCTAAGGTATGTATATATTATAGAAGAAAATTAATGTATTTTTAAACAGCTAGAAGTTGACAGTTGTTTGTTTGCTGGCAATTAGATATGGGTGCAAATTGCCAATCTGGCAGTTCATAATGGTTCATTCTTTGGACTCACAGCTGTAGGATGGGCACCCTGGCTTCCCTCTCTCCTCCTCTGAGTAGGTGGGGGAGGGAAGCCAGGGCATCCATGAAACGCCTGTACATCGGAAGAATGAACCGTTATGAGCCATGAAACTGGTGGTTCATGCCCATTTCTACTGGGAAGCAAGAGTGGGAGGATGGAAACTGAGGGTATGACCACATGGCGAGGGAAAAGTGAATTAACTCGTTTTATCTTGCTTTGAAGTCAAACTGCAATATTTGGTTCTGAATTGGAGAAAGTCAAAGGATTCAGCTTTTTAAAAGTAGAAGGGTCGCTGGTGGGAAAGAAAAACTGTGGACTGGAGGTGCAGGACTCTGTGATCATTATTATAATTTTTTGTGTGCCAAACTGATCTAGCACTATACTAGATCAGTGACTCAGTAATAAACCTGTTTATTAAAAAAAATTCTGGGACACTCGTGGGATAGATTGTGGGGGTGGATGGTCCTACAGTTCCCAAACATCATGCCCCAATTGCCTATAGCAACACAACATCACCCATAAACATGCCTCTCCCTCCCTATCATTTTGTAGAATGAAATGACTGCTCACTGAGGAAAAGTCCTTTTGAATCATTCAGGCTTGAAAAAAGCAGAAGCCCCCAGAGGCAGAGAATTTTGTTTGCATTGAAAGCAAAAAGGGCCTGACTGATACTATGTAATCAGTAAAAAAAATGTTTTTATCTATTTTATACCCACAGCAAATCCCACAGTATTTGATTGTGTAGTTGCAACTTGAGTTCAGTCTAGTTATACAGATATTTAATATTTTTTTAAAAAAGGACTCCTTATATGCAGACAGACCTGTTGGATCAAAACTGGGACCTATCCAAGAACACTTATTTAGCCTGTTCATAAATATCCTGCCCTACTCCTAACACAGCGCCCAAAGCAGTTCGCAAAATTATTAAATTAAAAATAAGCAAAAACACATAAAAGAGTCAAACCATTAAGATGCAATGAAACATACAGTAATAGTGGAAACTGGCTAGTGCAGGGATCTCAAACATGCGGCCCGGGGGACATTTGCGGCCCCCCAGATGATAGTTTGTGGCCCTCGCCTTGCCTGCCCCCCCAAAGCGCCCACACATCCTCTGCTGTCAAGAGTTACCATTAAGATGCAATGAAACATACAGTATAGTGGAAACTGGCTAGTATAAAACAAGTTCAAACATTTAAGAAATACATCAAAAAGTATTTTTTTAAAGTGCAGAATCCCACATTAAAAGCTCTTCTTCTTCAGCCCATGTACATGACTGACTAAAGAGTGAGGTGTTTAATTCATGGCAAAAGGACAGACAGGACGAAACCAACCTCGTTTCCCATTGAAGGGAATTCCAACCCGGCGGTGGCCACCAAATGGCTCCACCTTTTCTTCTGATGAGAGGAGACCAAAAGAAGGACATTCTCTGAAGATCTTAAAACCCAGAGAGGTTTATATGAGGAGATGGGGTTCTTTAGATAGCCTCAGCCCAAGCTGGATAGGGGTTTCTAGACTATATCCAGCACTTTGAATTGGGAAGCCAATGAACAAATAGCCAGTGGGCCAGCTATACAGGGAAATTAAATACTCTCTGTAACCACCGATGGTAAATAGTCTGTCTGCAGCAATATGGACCAGCTGAAGTTTCCACCCTTTAGGGCAGACTCATGTATAGTTATAGTAATCCAAGTTATAATAATGCAATGCAACTAAGGCAACTAAGGCGTGTGTCACTGTAGCCAGATCAGACATCAAATTATCTACCGTTGCTGTTCTCAATAAAGCTATGGATATGCTTGCAGAAGCATTTTCTGCATTTGTTTTGTATGGCGTTGGATTAGTAGATACATTTTTAAAAAACCCTCTAAGCGAGATATTCTTCCTGGTTCTCCCAAATACTAGCTGAGCAATCAAATTTCTTCTACCAGTTAATTTGCAGTTCATTTTGGGTCTCTAATATTCTAGAATAGAATATTACATCACCATATATGGGTATGAAAGCTGGACAGTTCAGAAAGTTGACAGAAGAAATAATGATTTCATTGAAATGTGGTGCTCGAAGAGAGCTTTACAGATACCCCTAACTGCCAGAAAGAAAAACTAGAGGATCCTAGAGCAAATCAAGCCTGAACTATCTCTGGAGGCAAAAATGTTAAAACTGAGACTGTCCTACTTAGGTAAAGGTGAAGGTTCCCCTTGACATTTAGTCCAGTCGTATCCGACTCTAGGGTGCGGTGCTCATTCCCGTTTCCAAGCCATAGAGTCAGCATTTGTCCATAGACAGTTTCCGTGGTCACGTGGCCAGCCCAACTAGACAGGGAATGCCATTACCTTCCCACCAAGGTGGTACCTATTTATCTACTCGTATTTTCACATGCTTTCAAATCTCTAGGTTGGCAGGGCACATCAAAACAAGATTCCCTGGAAAGGACAAGACAAAAATGCTGGGAAAGGTGGAAGACAGCAGAAAAAGAGGGAGACGAAATATGTGGTCAACTGACTCCCTAAAAGAGACCACGGGCTTCGGTCTGCAAGAGCCAAGAAGGGTGGCTGAAGAAAGGACATTTTGGAGAGTGTTCATTCATAGGGTTACCATGACTTGAAGACAACTTGACGGCATATAACAACAACAATATTCTAGAAATACTGTATGTAACCAAGAAATGCAATACACTGGCGAGAATCTTGTTTGTTGCAGTCTAATCTAAAGTTACTCTGAAGCAAAATTGCTCAATGTTATGCCCAGGCAATGAGGATTGCCGATCATTTCACTTCTGAGTGTTGAGGCAATAAAAACAGCGAAGAGAAGTTGCTGCTGACAGATAGAGTGACAGATGTCCCCTGCCAAGCCATGTCTCATGGAATCTGCACTGCTGGCTTCTCTTGTATAACTAGCTACTTCTTCCCATGCAAGCTCTGGGAGTCAGTAGCCTTGGCGGCAGTGGGAACTGAAATGAAAATTATTTGCAAACACTGGAAGTAAAGAATGTTATTGTCAACCTGTGAAGGACATACTCTTCTAATTCTACAGGTTCAGGCTGCTGCATGTATTCTCTTGTATGTTAATCTCCTCATTGCTTTGTAATTCATGCCCCTTGCACTAACAGTACTATTAATTTAGTATATAATTGAAATGCCCTTTCAGTTTAAAGGTTTTTGTATAGGTGAGAGTTTGCATGTGTTACTTATTTAAAAAACACATACACATATACACCATGTGCAGCATTCCCATCACCTAAGGCAGGAAGAGAAGCACTGTCTATGGTATTGATTGAATGAATGGAATTAAATCTGGGACACAAGGCAGATTACATACGATTTTAAAAATGCATTGTGTGTGTGAAATCACTTGTCATATTAAAACAGAATGCAGTAAAAGTAAGACTTTTAAAACTTCTCTTTTAAAAATAATTACGGCAATTAACAACAGAAATGTGTACCATATCCTTATGTATGTTGTCTTGAGCAGTCAACTAGATGCTGAAGGTCTTCTTACCTATCCTCCCTTGGCAGGGAGTGCCATACCCTGGGTTCAGCCACTACAAAGGCTTCTCTCACTTCCTCATCCATATCCTGCTGTTGCCACATCTGCCAGTCACCATATAGTAGTAATCCACATGGGGAAGGGGGGGAATGGAGGAGAGCAGCTATGTTACCTCTTTTTCTTTTAATCACTACCTGCCCTTCTCTACAACACACCGGTGTCTGTGTTAGCACAGATGTGTGTGTGTATGCTGTTTGCTTAAGCAGTAAGGAGCTTGCTTATGGTGCATTTATCCATTCCAGATGAGTTAGCCTGCCATTACAGGCTCACCAGAGATATTTTCCCAGGACACATAGGGAGAGGAGTACATGGGAAAATCTCCTCCAACAAGTTACCTTTCACTGTAGATCTCAGGATCCAAGCCATTATAATTTAAGTGTCTGTGTAAAGTATTTCATGGGCATTCCTAAAAAAAATAAACAGCCAAAATCCTGTTGTGTAGTTATGCCTGCAGGAGGCAACTGATGCTAATTTGCAGCAGCTTCTCACTGGCATTTAATAAGTACTTGCTTGAGCCAAAATCCTGTTGTGTAATTATGCCTGCAGGAGGCAACTGATGTTAATTTGCAGCAGCTTCTCACTGGCATTTAATAAGTACTTGCTTGGATTTTGGGATGTTGGCCAACTTGGGCTGGTGTGTGGCCAAAAATTCAAGTGGGGGACACATTAATTTGCAGCAAAAAGCTGCTGTGTTACATCAGTTGCCTTCCATAAGTTCAACTTAATACAGTGGTGCCCCGCATAGCGATGATAATCCGTTCCGGATAAATCGTCGCTATCCGGAAACGTCGCTATACGGGGCAAAAAACCCCATAGGAACGCATTAAACACTGTTTAATGCGTTCCTATGGGGACAAAACTCACCGTTATGAGAAGATTCCCCATACAGCCGCCATTTTCGCCACCTCGGTAAGTGAGGAATCGGCGCGAAAACGCTGTGGGCGGGCATTTTCTTCATCCGGCGGCCATTTTGGAACCGTTGATCAGCTGTTCTG